CACACACAAACATGTACGTACGCACAGACACACACAAACATGTACGTGCGCACAGACACACACATGTGCACAGACACCCACACACACACCCACCCACCCACACACCCACCCACCCACACACAGACACGCGCACACACACAGGCCTGAACATCTAGACATCCAGGTTTGGAGTTTCACTATTCGAACTACACTGTCGAACTACACATTGGCTGGAGGACAGCAGTGCAGCTCAAGTTGAAGTCGAGCAGAGTACATCAGCTTTACCAAAACCTCTTCGATTCAACGCAAGCCTCCTGCCGGTAAACCGTGTACCCCCGTCCCCTCAACCAAGAAATGCAACCATCTCGCCATATGCAGGATTGATACTCACCTGTGAGTCCTGATGTCCGTGCTGTTCCTTCGTGAAGGTGTTAATTCACACAGCACTGACAATGGTTACTGGGGATCCCTTCCACATGTCCACTACCCTGTGGAAAACAAAAATGGTCTCGTTCAGCAGTTACTTTTTTCCCCAAAAATTGTTTATGTGATGATACTATGATTTTAAGAGGTGTATTTGGTCCTGTTTTTTATATGTCTGCTTCAAAGCCAATAAAGTAATCAACTTGAGGCCTTTTTTTAAAAAGTTGGAACAATAGAAGCAGCCTGAGCAGGTGGGGTCAAGCTCCCACAGAAGCAGGAATTTTTAGTTTCAGTTTTTCAGTAGGGTCTAGGCTACGTCCTTAATGTATTTTGAGAGGATCTGGCCCATAACATGACCAAAACCGATCTAACAAGTCTGTGCTACTCCTCCGCTCCAACTGAGCTTCCTCCCAACTCCCAGTTAAAGCAGTTCACGTGTACTTTCACATGAAAAGAAATTCAAGTGACAAACTGGCAAGGTGTCATCAGTGGTTTAAGAGAATCAGTAGAAAGCTTTGTGATGGATTTATATGGTGTTGACGGTTGTGGGTATGGAAATTTGAAGGAATTAAAGACCGTATAGTTATTGTGTGAGGGATGAGAAGTTATTGTGACAATGCTTTTAAGAGGTTATTTGTCCCGGTTCCTTTTGAGGGAGAGACTGAATAAGGTACCAAGCTGGCTACTGAAGACCACTTGAGTAAACAGTTTGGGAGGCGTTGGGTTTTTGTTTTACAACCTGAATGGATGTGGCCATCTCTCACAGATCAGGCTTTTCTGGGTTTTTAAGGTTTAACTTTAAGCAGAAGCTGTTTGGTGGTCTCAGCAGAGTTGGAAGCTTCAGTGAATGTCTCCTGGCTGCTATTCTCTCTGAATTTTCTCATGACTTTTTTTTTCCTGCTGGATCGGAGAACTGCATGTGAGAATCTGTGCTCTGAATTTACCTGATGTGTTTGTGGGACATTACTAAATTGGAACAGTTAATGAGTAATAGGTACTGTATCTATTACTCAGTTAAGTTTTCTAATAGTTAAGTTATTCTAAATTCCTCTGTCTTTTGTTTGTATTTTTAACGATAGTGTTTAAATAAATTGTGTTCTGTTTAAAGTTGAGTAGCTTGACCAGTAGCATTGTATTGGGAACATGGCATTTTACATCTGCCTTTAAAATAAGAAAAGTTAAGGACTTAGACTACTTTCTTAAAATATTTTGAGGGAGCTGGTCTGGTTCATAACATTGTGAAACATTCTTCAATCGAGGAGGATTTAACACTGAACTACCAACTCAACAAGAGGACCCAGAATCAGTAAGTACAGTGAGGAAAATTTGGATTCTTCTCACATGGTCAGCCCCAAACTGGCATCAGAATCCTCCCAAGGGCCTGGCAACAAGTTAAAAGAGTCGGAATCAATGTCATCACTCCCATTAGATTGTAGAAGGTGTAGCTCCAAACAGAATCACAAGCGCAACACGTATTCAACAGAGGGAACACACCAAGCATCCGCTGGTGGGAAAAGTTCAATCTCAGACAGCGCAATTGAAGATGGGGGCTTATCACCACTGAGATAACCAACACTGCTTACTGCCAGTACTGTAACTGTTCCCAAGTCAAACAGAAAACTAACTGTGTGAGTTGCTTTGATTTATTATTGTCACATGTACCAGGATATAGGGAAAAGTTTTGTTTTGCATGCTATTCAGACAAATCATACCTTTTCATAAGTACGTCAGGATAATAGAACATAATGCAGAATTATAGTGTTACAGCTACAGGGAAGGTACAGAGAAAGATCAACTCTAATATATGAGAGGTCTGTTCATAAGTCTGATAACAGCAGGGAAGGAGCTGTTCTTAAATCTCTTGGGATGTGTGTTTAAGCTTTAATGGAAGAGGGTGGAATAGAGTATAACGGGAGTGGGAGGGGTCACTGATGATGTTGGGTGCTTTCCCGAGGCAACGGGGAGTGTAGATGGAGTCAATGGATGAGAGGTTGGTTTGTGTGATGGACTGGGCTGTGTTCACATCTCTCTGTAGTTTCTTGCAGTCTCAGGTAAAGCAGTTGCTGTACCACACTGTGATGCATCCAGATAGAAAGCTTTCTATGGTGAATGTGTAAAAATTGATAAGACACATTTGGACATGCCAGATTTCCTCAGCCTTCTGAGGAGGTAGAGGCGTTGCTGTGCTTTCTTGACTGTAGCATCAACGTGGGTGAACCCGGAGAAATTGTTGGTGACCATCACTCCCAGGAACCTGAAGGCCCAATTCCAATGGCACTGCTGCCTCACAGCGCCAGGGACCCAGGTTCGATTCCACCCTCGCGAGACTATTGGTGCGGGGTTTGCACATTGTCCCCGTGTCTGCGTGGGTTTCCTCCCACAGTCCAAAGATGTGCACATTAGGTGGACTAGCCATGGGAAATTGCTCATATTGTCCAGGGATGTGCAGGCTAGGTGGATTAGCCATGGGAAATGTAGGGTTACGGGGATAGGGTAGGGGGTGGGACTGGGTGGAATGCTCTTCAGAGGGTAGGTGTGGACTCGATGGGCCAAATGGCCTGCTTCCACACTGCAGGAGTTCTGTGAAGCCTTGCCACATGTGACATGTGTCTGTGTGGCTAGTCTGTGATTCTAGTTTAGAGTGGTGCTGTCTCTTGGTGTCTTTAATGGCTTTGCGAAGATTGTACTTAGATCTCCTGTTTTGGTCAGGGTCACCCAACCAGCACATCTCAGACGTGGACTTCAGTAGGGAGTGGATCTCCCAGTCCGTCCATAGATGTCAATCAGGGGTTAGAAGGGAAATCCATCCCAGTCCATCAGTCAATGGGAGTTTGGCAAAATTAGCAACAAGCAATTGGAATGCTTGCCTTTATTGGTCAGTGCGTTGAGTATAGGAGTTGGGAGGGTCATGTTGAGGCTGTACAGGACATTGGTTAAGGCCACTTTTGGAATACCATGATCAATTCTGGTCTCCCTGCTATGGAAAAGATGTTGTAAAACTTGAAAGGGTTCAGAAAAGATTTACAAGAATGTTGCCAGGGTTGGAGGGTTTGAGCAAAGGGAGAGGCTGAATAGGCTGGGGCTATTTTCCCTGGAACGTCGGAGGCTGAGGGGTGACCTTATAGAGGTTTATAAATCATGAGGGGCATGGATAGAGTGAAGAGCCAAGGTCATTTCCCCAGGGTAGGGGAGTCCAAAACTAAACAGCATAGGTTTAAGGTGAGAGGGAAAAGATTTAAAAGGGACCTAAGGGGCAACATTTTCACACAGAGGGTGGTGTGTGAATGGAATGAGCTGCCAGAGGAAGTGGGTGGAGGTTGGTACAATTACAACATTTAAAAGGCATCTGAATGTGTATATGAATAGGAAGGGTTTAGAGGGATATGGGTCAAACATTGGCAAATGGGACTGGATTAATTTAGAATATCTGGTCAGCATGGACGGGTTGGACCGAAGGGTCTGTTTCTGTGCTGTACAACTCTGTGACTCTAATAAAAGGTGCTTGCATGGCCATCATTAATGAACTGAATTTTAAATTCCAACAGTTGCCATGGTGAGAGTTTTGTCCCAACAGCATGGGTCTGGATCAATGGAATACTGGACAAGTGGAGTCCATCAGGAAGTGGTCGGCATGTAGCGTCCCCGAGACCCTGAGGGAAAAGGAGAGGGTGGATCCTGT